GTTGCAATGTACATCTAGTGTTTTACGGTGACCTTTGCTTCAGCATCTGTCTTTTTTTTTTTTTAGTTATGACCTGTTAAAACTACATGTGGTGCTTTTGACTCACCCGTTACACCTACATCTGGTGTTTTAGGAATGACCCGTTGCATCTACATCTGTTTTTAGAATTGACCCGTTGCATCTACATCTGGTGTTTTGGGTATGACTCTTTGCATTTATATTTACGGCTTTAGGCACCTCGTGTTCCATTGACATGTGTTGTTTTAGAGTGACCCGTTGCATCTACATCTGATGTTTTAGGAATGACCCGTTGCATCTACACATCTGGTGCTTTATGTATGATCCATTACATGTATATTATATGGTGTTTTAATTATGACCCGTTAAATCTTTAATTAGTGTTTTAGAGGGATCTGTCGCTTCTACATTTTATGTTTTAGGTATGACACGTTATATCTACATGTTGTGTTTGAGTTACGACCCTTTACATCAACATGTGATACTTTAGAATTGAACGTTACATCTATGCATCTGGTGACACATTGCATCTACATTACGTTTTTTCAGGTTCTCCGTTGCGTCTATATCTGGTGTTTTAGAAAGAAGCTGTTGAATCTGATGTGTTAATTAGAATGATCAGTTGCATCTACATCTGGTATTTTAGGTATTACTAGATGCATCTCCATCTGGTATTTTAGGTATTACCAGTTTCATCTACATCTGGTACTTTAGATATTACCAGTTGCATCTACATCTGGTATTTTAGGTATTACTAGATGCATCTCCATCTGGTATTTTAGGTATTGCCAGTTGCATCTACATCTGGTATTTTAGGTATTACCAGATACATCTACATGTGGCGTTTTAAGTATTACAAGTTGCATCTAGATCTGGTATTTTAGATATTACCAGTTGCATCTACATGTGGCGTTTTAAGTATGATCTGTTACACTTACATGTTGCGTTTGACCTTTGCATATAGATGTGGGGTTTAGATATGACACACATGCATCTAGATTAGTGTGTATAGGTTGACCAGTTGCATCTACGTCTAGTGTAACAGATATGAGCGGTTAAATCTACATACTGTGTTTTAGAATGACCCGTTGCTTCTACACCTGGTGCCTTACCTATTACCGGTATATACGTGTGGTGTTTTCAAGTTATCCGCTGCATGTAAAATCTTGTGTTTGAATTATGACCCGTTACATCTACATCTGGTGTTTTTTGGTATGGTCTGTTGCATCTATATCTAGTGGATTAGGTATGACCATTTTCATTTACATTTACCGGTTGCGTTTACATGTGTTGTTTTAGGCATGACCAGATGCATGTACATATCTTATTTAGAGTGGCCCGTTATATCTATACGTGGTGTTTTAGTTAAGACCCGTTGCATTTACATCTGGCGTTTTATGTATGACACGTTGCATCTACATCTGGTATTGTAGGTATAAGCCGTGAGATCTACATGCGCTGTTTTTAATTCCTCCGTTGCAACTAACATTTGTTTTTTATGTATGATCCATTGTAACCCATTGCATCTACATCTGGTCTTTCAGGTTTAACCATATAGACCTACATCTGATATTTTAGGTATGAGCCAAGTTTTAGTTTAAGACAAATGAAGATCAGCATTCCTCTTTCCCCATTATTGGCCTTGTGCCTTATTTGTACTCATGTGCAATAAATATTAATTGTCGGTCACACCGACTGCGTTTCTCCTTTTTTGAATCGCGCTCTTTTCTAAGTGTTGTTGTATTATTATCATTATCATTATTATTATTATTATTACTACTACTACTACTACTACTACTACTACTACTACTACTAGCTGAGTTACCTGGCGTTACCAGGGTCTACATGGCTGCAAGTGTATAACCGCCTCTTGTATACCCGCACCCACTGTCTAGAAATGTCTACCTGCGTCCCTGCTTGCATGCATCATCCGTTGGTATACTAAGCTACTCCCCACCTCATCTTTTTTACGGTATGCCCTTCGCAAGTGTTTGGTTGTTCTTAATAAACGAATTCCATCGATAAAAAACTTCTTGTGTGGTCGTTGCTCGGGGTTAAATTGTTTCAATGTTTTAGATATTCAGTAAATTTCCTATCGCCGTAATAAATTTTAAATAGTATATCATTGTTTACAAATCTAATAATCAAACCAAAACAAGGATGAAGCATCAGAGCTTGATTCAACTGCAATTGCAAACGCATGAACGCCCCCTCCTTCTTTACACTTTTACTGTAAAGCTGGGGTTAATAAGAGGTTTTTCGGGATTTTTTCCCTTTTAACGCTTCAATAATTTTTCTCAAACAATCTTGGTCTCAAAGGTTGTCCGAATGACAATTTAAGATGGAATCATATGAAGGAACTATTGGCTAAATGGCAAAAGCCAATTTTGGACCTAGTTTGTCGCTGATTTCGTCCACTTAACTGAAATAATCTAAACCAAACATTGACGCAAGACAATTTGTGTGTTATATGTAATTAACATGACAAATTAGGTAAGCATCGGATGAAAGGAGTTATGGCCGAAAAACGGGCTTTCTTAATAGTTTTTCCTGTTTTTTCCTTATACGCAGGACTAAAGCAACACTATCTTACTTCTTGCATGATGGTAAATTTTTGCGACATGTTTGAAGAAAATCGAATAAAAAATGAGGAAGTTATTCAATATTTTATTTTAAGAAGTACGAAATATCCGTTTTTTGCAATTTTTGTGTGAAGCCAATGTCGCAGGAAAATTATCCAGCACTCTCCATAAACCTCGTAACATGAGCTTTGTTTTGCATTAAATGCGAAGAACATTAGTTCATCCAGTAAAAAATTATAATCGCGTGTAACTTTGCTTTGGCTTTTGCAAAAGTTCGTACCCACCTCCCGTTTTATCGATTTTTCTGCCAAACCTGAGTAGGGGACTTGGAGATTGAAATGTTGGTCTTGACCTACCTTGCTAAATTTGCAACTTGTGTATACAATTTCATCGAAATCGGTCGAAAAATATGGACGTGCATAAATAGCATACACACACAGAGACAGACACACGCACACAAACACGCACACACACACACAGGCATCTTTTGTTTTATATAGATTATTATTATTATTATTATTATTTATCTTTGTTTTGTGTAGTACAATTTGTTGCAAAGTCTCAATTTCAAGAGACAAGAAGTTTTTGTGTCAGATGCAAAACGATGAGCCGCCAAGCAACAAGAGAAAAAAAAATGAATCGTTTTCTGCAATATTATTATTATTATTATTATTATTCGTAGGAAAAATAAATGGTTTGGAATGTGGTAAGAATTCTAAATGAAGAATCCACTGAGTGACGTTTGGATTTTTCGAAAAAAAAATTCTCAGAGAAGTTGGCATTTTGAATTGCAATGAATGTAGATAATCTGTGTGGATGCGAACCAGAATGGAAAATTCCGGTCGTTCGCCGAGAAAACATTCTCGAGGCAACACAAACAAGTAAAAAATTGAGAGAACAGTAAACACTTGGGCGATAAACAGTTACGAAAGAAAAAACAGTTGGAATAATAATAATAATAATAATAATAATAATAATAATAATAATAATAATAATAAAAATGAATAATTATTATAAAAGAAAGTCGAACAAAAAACGATTGTAAAATAGCGATAGTAATAAACATGTTAATTCCCTTATTAGCGATGAAAATATAATGACGGATTTGATACAACAACATCATAACACAACCTTGGCGACATTTATGACTCTATTAGGTTTTTTTACAAAAAAAAAAAGAAAAAAAGTCAATATTATGAGATGAAGAAAGCAGTTTGTATAATTACGATGTCCTCGACAATAATGCATGTTGTAATTAGCTTTGTAGGATGTTCGTGTAGTGTAACAATTAGCGAATCGGTATGTGACACTGGCGAGCTGAGTTCGTATCAAGGCCGAGTTCGTTTGCGTTCCTTTAAGCCCAAGTACTCTTCGGAAACAAATAAAATCGTCTCCCCTACACTAAGCTCTAGATATTTAATCCACGTCTGAGGGGTGAGACGAGATTGATTCACTATCTGTCTATCTTTCTGAGATGAGGTATTATATACACTATTTACATTATTCAGACTATTGTGCTCATCTTTGTCGCCATATTTATTACAACGTTTCGGCCTTTCAGTATATGTCTATCTTTCTGAGATGAGGTATTATGTACACTATTTACATTATTCGGACTATTGTCCTCATCTTTCTCGCCATATTTATTACAACGTTCCGGCCCTTCAGTATCTGTCTATATTTCTGTGATGAGGTATTATGTACACTATTTACATTATTCGGACTATTGTCCTCATCTTTGTCGCCATATTTATTACAATGTTTCGGCCGTTCTACGCTCCGGCCTTCTTCAGGTGGTTGGAATGTTAAACTTAACCCTTTATTTTGCTCACTGGGGTAGACTGTTCTAGTTCAACGTGCTATGTCTAATCCCCTGTTAATTCCCCTCTTCAAGTTCTCCACTGCCTTAACCGGGTATTGAACTCACAGTTTTTGGGTCCTGTCACTGGATGTAACTACCGACTTTATCCACTGTGGCATGTGTCGGTTAAGGCAGTGGAGAACTTGAAGAAACGTTGTAAAACATATATGGCGACAAAGACGAGGACAATAGTCCGAATAATGTAAATAAAGACTGTTTCGGGGCTGACTGTGTCTACTCGACTGGTTAGCGAATCCCTGTTGAAGATCCCAGCTCAGGCACTTTTGATTTTGTTTAATGCCCACAAAGCCAACCTGTAGTTTATACTTCAGTTATGCTGAAGCTAGCCTTAGTAACAGTTACCAAGCATAATCTGGCATGATCAGTCGTTAAATTCTACCAGTACATTCAAACCCTTGATCACTTTTAACTTTGTACAACTCGTGACAGAAAGTCTTCTTAATGCCGTAGTTTATGGTGTAGTAGTAGTAGTAGTAGTAGTAATAGTAATTATTCCAGTGGACAATGCCCTAGGAAGACTAAAAAAGAATGAGTGTAGGTGGATTTATGATAGAAACAAAATAATAGATAGAAGGGTTATAATCGGTATAGGGAAAAATATTACGAATAACTCCGAGAATAAAGAAGACGGTAAGAAATAAAGGAAAAAACAGAAGAAATATGAAATGAAAAAAGAATAAGTCTGGGTAAATACAAAGCGGAAGACGAAAGACCAGAAGAAAAATTGAATAAAAAGAACAGCAGATATATAAGAAGGTAGAAAATGAAGAAGAAGAAGAAAAAGAAGAAGAAGAAGGATGAGGAGAAGAAGAAGAAGACAATTGTCTCTGGAATTCAGTAGAAACAGAAGAAGAAGAAGACAATTGTCTTTGGAATTCAGTAGAAGAAGAAGAAGAAGAAGAAGAAGAAGAAGAAGAAGAAGAAGAAAGAAAGAAAGAAAGAAAGAAAGAAAAAAACAAAAGTAGGGAGACAAGATAGAAGAACAAAAGAAAAAGTCGACAAAAAATAAACAGAACGATTAATGCAAACATTTTTTACTAAAAAAATTCTTCTTTATTTCTTGGTGCTGTAAAAAAAAAAAACCTTTGTGAAAGAACTACATCTCCTCAAATCTCAGGTTCTGATTTCCTTTTCTTTTGTCTTTCTCCCTTCCCCCCCCCAAAAAAAATCAAACTAAACTATAAACATATTAAGGTCCTCATAAATATACAGAAACCTTGAAGGCAAACTAAAATTGTTTTCTTTTTACCGTCAGGTAGGGCGTCTTGATGTCGAAGAGAAAAGTTGGAAACGCTTTTATTTTTTTAGATTACATGATCTTATTAAACCTCGGGCTTTAATCTCTCGGCAAATACCATTGCTATATGATATCATTGGTATTGTCTATTGGTGTCTAGGAGAGGATTCCTTTCTTTTATTTTCTCTAGCTTTGTTGTTGTTTAAACGTATCGGCCGTTGTACGCTTCGGCCTTCTTCAGGTGGTTGTCATTGGATCTAATCACCGCCTTTATCCACTGTGCCATGTGTCGTTTGATCCAGTGACAGGACCCAAAGAGTGTTAGTTCAATATTAAGGTTAAGGCAGTGGAGAACTTGAAAAGGGGAATTAAGATGAGATAACTGATAACTGACATCCATTAAACAGGGCACGTGGAACTAGAACAGTCTACGCCAGTGAGCGAAATAAAGGGTTCAGTTCGACATTCCAACCACCTAAAGAAGGCCAGGGCGTACAACGGCTGAAACGTTGTAATAAATATGGCGACAAAGATGGGGACAATAGTCCGAATAATCTAAATAGTGTACATAAGACCTCATCTCAGAAATATAGACAGAAAATGAATGGATATGTAACATTAATGTTAACGAGGCGGAAAATGAAATCATCTAGCCGAGTTCAAATCGTTTGTTTCATTCATTTTCACACTAAACCCTCCAGGAAAGGCATTTCTTCACCTCCACCATCAACTGGGGGCTACTTCACAGGGAAGACAGGACTCTATAGGTGTGAGCTTCAACCGATCTAATAGAAGAAAAAATATGAATCCCAAACAATGTGGAGAGCAGACACTCCGCTGTCTTTCCAAAGAAGCTATGGCAATTCACATAAAATCTTTTAGGAGCTATAATCGCAATCATCTACAAAGAACAAGGTATTAAAAACCACAAAAATGACTCTGCTGTTATCAATTCGTTTATCCAAATCGTTGTTCCCCTAAAAATCTTTCAAATTATATCGGATTGCACCGGTGATGGGATTTATTGTACAATAACTATTATCTGCACGGAAAACGCAAATGAGGTGCTGATTTCGCATGTTAAAGATAAAAATCCATATGCATACGTTTCAATAGCGTAGTGGATAAAATCTTTTTTCTTTTACTGTGAAAATCGGCAGACAATTGAGAAAACCGCCTGGCGAGTGTACTGAACAATTCTGAACAGGTTCGTCTACGTAACTTTGAAGTCGAGGTGCTGAATAAAACATCAATCAGCTGTGGCAAATTTTATATTTGTATTAATCCTATATATCCTCGTCGGAAATACTTTTCCACGAAAAGAATAAACACAAACTAAAAATTCTCGAAGCTATTTATATCGAAAAATTGAAACCATACCTCAATAAAATTAATTACGAATACTTCAAAAACATTTTAAAATGTATACAGTCTTTAAATGTTAGCGCTTGTCATTAATAATTTTCCTTTATCCAGCAACTACTCAAGTCCGGAATTTTTCTACAGCATACCTAGTTACCTCCCCTTAAACGGTGTCCGCGTCACCCAAGCCATGACACAGCGCTCCTGAGTCTACATATAAAAATTGTAATTTTCGGATGACCACAACAATTTTTTCCTTCACAACAATGAAGGCTAAATTCTTACTTCATAATTAACAATACCCTGATAATGACATTATGCTATGTCGAAAGTACTCGAAAATAAATACAACATGAGCTAATATAGTGTTTTCCTGTTGTTTTTTTAATAACCACACAAAAAAGCTTATCTGCGAATATGAAAGGATCCTATCCAGAATAAATAGACAGAACTTGTCTAAATTATTTAACGAAACCTGTCTTAATGAATATATGCTGCCGAAATATACGCATATATATATATGTGTGTGTGTGTGTGTGTCAGTGTGTGTGTGCGTCCGTACATGAGTGTGTGTATGCGTGAGTGTGCGTGCGTGCGTGCGTGCGTGCGTGTGTGTGTGTGTGTGTGTGTGTGTGTGTGTGTGTGTGTGTGTGTGTGTGTGTGCCTTGCTATAAATTTTTTCTCGCCCTAAACTTTCATATAGTTTTATAAGTCTACCATTCATCTGTGTGAATTGAATATTGCTGGTCGGGCGCTTCAAAGAAAAATCTGCAATTTTATCGGTTCTGACTTGGCATCTCTGCTATAATCAGTTTCCCACCGTCACTTTCTGATCAGCTTTTCCCTTAAGTATTATGAATTCATAAATTTAAGTCTAGCCGCTAAGTCTCATCATTTGACTTTGATATTGCCAAATTATTTCTAGTCTGATAGATTCTTCTCCTGCATTTCTCGTATATGGGAACTCTCTTTCGGCTGTTTGTTTTCCTGTCAACTTCATCTATGTGTCATGTCCCTTCAGGGCTTTGGCAATCATGGCTCTCCACAATTTCCTGTCCTTTTTAGCTGTCAATAATTTCTGTCTTTTGTTATCTCTCCTAAACCTTGTTCCGCTGTTCATTTAGTCAATAGGCTTTTGCCTCGTCTGTCTCTCTTGTCTTCAATCTGTCTTGTATCAAATTTTCCAAGCCTGCTTTCCTCATTATGCGTCGTATAAATTTCAACCGTCTCTTCTTGATGTTAAGTATAAGTTTCCTTTTTGTTTCCACACATCAAGAGTCTGACACCCAAGACACGCTGTTCATATTTGCGGAATGTGTCCTTGTCTGGGACATAGTAAACGAATTTAGCCCATATGAATCTGAAGTCCGAAACATGGCTTCTCCTGACACAGGAGTTAGGTGGCCAGAAGTAAATGATGATGTGGTCACAGAACTTGTCTGACAGTCTTGTGGCATGGTGGAAACTTCTGTTGCCACACATAGGGTCTTCCAGTAGAAACACTCTTAACCCAGAGCAGCACTACCTTCTCAAAGCACTTGATGTATCCCTCCATGTTGAATCTGAGGTCCTCACCAACAAATTACGGTCAACTATTCCTATCGTAAAGTTTTGCTTTTCTTTTAAATTTTCCAGATTACAATCGGATCTTTTATTTTTATTTTTCTCCTTTAATGTCCACATATGAATAGAATAGAATTTGTAAGGCTTTCTAGCTTAAAAGATGATATTGATTGTACTACCTCTTTTTAAAGTTACCCTCAGTATAGCCTATGTATATTTTTGTGGTTTATTGTATCTATTACTTCTGCTTTGTAAATTACTGATTCAGTTTTGCAAATACATATTATTATTAATAATATTAATGAAATAATATCAAATTCCGCTACTCAAAGTTTCAACACAATTATCAGGCAGATAAAATATTTTATCCGATAAAGGATTAGGGTTATCGCTTAAAAATCTGTGTAAAAGAGTTTATTAGGATTGTCTTATTATTATTTTAATACATGTTTACGTTCATACATATATACATCCATATATATATATATATATATATATATATATATATATATATAATACAATAATATAAAATTACACACACATGCATACATATATATATATATACATATATATATATATGCATACCTCTGTGAGAGATTATGTTATCTTAAAAATCTGAATAAGATTTTAATATTTTTGTCTTATTATTATTATAATACATGCTTATGTACACACATTTACACACCCATATATATATATATATATATATATATATATATATATATATATATATATATATATATATATAATAATATAAAAATATAAAATTACACACATGCATATATATATATGCATACATCTCAGAATTCTTCTTATATGTGTGTGTAGTGCACGAGCGCGTGTGTGTGAGAGATTGTTTATCGCTTAAAAATCTACCAGATTTTAATATTATTGTCTTAATATTATTATAATACATGCTTACATACATGCTAATACATACACACACCCATATATATATATATATATATATATATATATATATATATATATATATATATATATATATATATATCCGTCCGTCTCGAGAGACGATGGAGTAGCGCGGTGCGCTACGAGCCTGGGTGGGATATATGGAGAACTAGGGTTGCCCAGACATCTAGTTCCCCCTCTCGGCCCTGCTAGCAGAGTCCAAAGGAGAGGATAAACCAATACAGTTTGGTATCAGCGCGGCTGCAGGAGTTGCTGGGAGGTAGCACAAAGTGCCGTCCATCCGCCAAAGGGGCTCCACTCCAGGTTTGAATTCAGAGTTGTCCTTCTCCTGGACCAGTTGCCATCCAAGGCTATAGAACCTAGTATGTCCTGCTATTTACCCATAGCTGGAAGGAGAAGAAGAGGATCCATACCTTTCCCAAGGGTATTAGCACGTAAGTGAATGTAATGGATTCGACTGGAATTAGAACTCGGCTCTCCGATTCCTCAATCCAAGCCGCTATCCATTATATATATATCATACATAATATAATAATTACACACACACATGCATATATATATGTGTGTGTGTGTGTGTGTGTACATGTGTTTGAGAGTGAGTAAAGTGTATTGAATAGTTCGCAGATATTTTTAATCGATTTTTGTACGGGCCAAGGACTTTTCAGACCTCTCGTTTAAATACAAATTCATACATTTATATATATATATATATATATATATATATATATATATATATATATATATATATATATATATATATATATATTCCTCTCCCCACCTCCGTTGGCAAAGTCATGACACGCTTTATACACTCGCGGAATTTATTGATTATAATATTTCCTCTTTTCTTTCCGACCCCCACCTTACGCGTTCATGGTCGTTACCATCCGAAATTCATGAATGGTGAATCACAATCCTCCCCACTCCACTCGGTTCCCCCTTGGACTCTCTATTTCTTCTTTCATTTTTTTTTTTTTTTTCATTATTCGTTTATTTATTTTACATATTCAGGTAAACACTGTGAACTCATTATCAAAATAAAGAAAACTTTCCCCCAAAATGATCATTTGTTAATTTGCTTTTAAAATCGCCTCCAATAAAAATTCTTTGTAATTTTTAATGTATCTCTAGCGAATCTTGCGAAGAAAATAGCCAGAACGCAAAAGGTATTGAAAATTAAATGACAAGAATTCAGGAGGAAAATATTGAACGATTTAATAAGGATTATGTCGATTTTTTATTGAATTTCTTGTATTTGCTACGTTCTGCTAATCATAACACTCTTTAAAACTGCAGCATTTATCTTAATTTTTATATTATGTGCCGTGTCTCTTTAGGACATTGACGATCATGGCTCTCCACTATTTCCTGCGGCTTTACTAAGCGTGGAAGAGTATGGAAAGACTGAAAATCGGCAGGTTTAAGAAAAGGACAAAAAAAGAAATAGTTTCAAGTAGACAGAAAATGGCAATTAACGTTGCATTTAAATTTTTGAAGCTTGTAGTTATCAGGGAAGCAAGAAATCAGAAGGGAGTTCCACAAGTGATAAGTGCGAAAAAAAGAAACAGAGAGGTAAGAGTTGCATCTATTTAGTTCAACAGTAAAATGGTAAGACGTAGTTGTCAATCTATTAGCACGCTTAAATTCATGTGATCGGGGCATCAAGGCAAAAAAAATACTCATCAGAACAATTGCCATAAAGATATTTGTAGAAAGGACAGAGGGAAGCTACGTCACGTCGGTGTGAAGGTGATTGAAAACAAGATACCAAGTCAGGTTCAATTACATTTCAGATTCTTCTTTGGATTTTGTCAAGAACCTCAAGATGAACAGCAGGGGTACCAGACCATATATGGCAATAGTATTCAATGCCTGGACAAATGGTAGAATTGTAGATGGATAAAATGGGCTCTGATGACGAAATACCTTCTGGCATGACACAATGAACCAACTTTCTTTGCAGAAGATGCAGATATTAGTGTTGTTGTTGTTGTTGTTAGTGGTGGTGGTGATAATGATGATGATGATGATGGTGTTGGTGTTGGTGATGATGATGATGATGATGATGGTGTTGGTATTGATATTATGTCTTATGTCTCCCCGACCGTTAAATTTTGGAAATGAGGTAACACTTTGTTTTTAATTTCCTTAAAAATCATTTAATCACCAGTTACTTACCATCGCCTGAAGAAGTATAATCATAGAATTGAAACATGAAAGCTTTTGTGTTGCGATTTCAACATGTTTTATTATAATCTCTTATAAAAATATAATATATATATATATATATATATATATATAAAGTTCTCAATTGAAATATATTTTCAAGAGCTTCATTTTATATATATATATATATATATATATATATATATATATATATATATAGTCCCTCGAAAGGTATTGGAAGAGCAAGGCCAACTTACTTTTTTTTTTTTTTCACTGAAGACATATAGGTTTAAAATCAAAAGATTAATATGAGACAAGAGTTCAGAATTTCATGTTATTTCCTGGTATCTACAATTAGATGTGTTAAACAGCTTAGGACATTCCACCTTTTGTAATAACCCCAATTTTTAGGTAATCAAAAGTAAAAGAATAGATAGTTTTAAATTAAATAACATTTAATATTGGGTTGGATAATACTTGCTAACAATAACTGCATCAAGCCTGCAACCCATTGACGTCATCAAATTCTTGAATTCTTCATTTGTGATGCTTTTCCAGGTTTTTAACACAGCCTCTTTCAGTTCTTGTTTGTTTTGAGAGGTTTTTCGGTCAGTCTAAACCTGTACATCTTTTTCCCCTGATCAAGTCCTTTGATGTGTGAACAGTTTTCGGTCATTGTCCTGCTGCAGGAGAAACTTCCTACCGATTAGTTTGGAAGCATTTCTCTGTAAATTGGCAAACAAAATAATTCTGCAGACTTCTGAATTCATTCTTCTGCTACTATCATGAGTTACATCATCAATAGACATGAATGAGCCTGTACCAGAAGCAGACATGCAAATCCAAGCCAGTACACTACCTCCACCATGCTTTATAGATGAGTTTTATGCTTAGGATCATAAGAAGATCCTTTCTTTCTCCACACTTTGGCCCTTCCATCACTTTGGTAGAGAATAATCTTGGTCTCATCAGTCCATAAAACTTTCTCCCAGAACTTTTGGCACTTATCTCTGTAGTTCCTTGCAAATTCCAATCTTTCCATCCGATTCTTTCTGCTGATGACTGGTTTGCATCTTGTAATATTGCCTAAATATTTCTCCTCTCAAAGTCTTCTTTGATTGGTGAATTTCAAAATGCAAGCCCAAGTCAAGGCACTGCTTCCACCATGCTTCACTGAGGATTTTATTTTTTTTTTACTTTAAACTGAATATATAGATTCTTCATGTATATATATATCTAGAGTTATAGAAATGTTTTATTTTCCAAACACGATATTATTCTTGATATATATATATATATATATATAAAAGTGTAAATGAGATTCCATAAATTCAGTTAAAATGAAAAACGATCGACGTCAGACAAGTTTTTAAGAGTAAACAGATAACTTTTTTTAAAAGACAAATTCAACTGAAAATAGGACATTCTTTTATTTTAATATTTGTTTGATGGTTTATATATCTGATCGATTTTCATTTTATATATTTTATTTTTGTTTGTTTTTCAAAAATTTCACATTCTGTCGGATTTTATCCAAATACTGTCTATACAAACCTAAATTCGTTTTTATTGGAAGATTGATTATAAATATTTTAAAATAATCACGAACTTTTCACGTTATATATATATACTATATAAACGGAAAGCTATATATATATATATATATATATTTTCGTCATATAATAATTTGTCTTGAAAAATGGTTTATTAAAAAACCGAAACGTCTGACGTAACAATTCTTTCATTTTAACTACATTTATGGATTTTTGTTTTGTTTTTCATATATATATATATATATATATATATATATATATATATATATATATATATATATATATATATATATATATATATATATATATACGTATTATATTGGGAAGCATATATTTTATACTATGAAGAGGTAATCATACAACGAATCAATTTGCTATATTAATGTCGAATTCTCTTCGCTAACTTGATATAAGCATTAACTTACCAATACTCCACTGAATGACGCGATCCTTATGCATAAAATTGTTTTCAGATGTATCTGGTGTGTTTTTAAAACAGTAAGTACTTTCGAAAACTTCATGTTACCATCGTCAGGCTGTAACTTATTCACTAGAAATAAAACTCCAAACGAAATAAATGTATTGTAGACCGAAAGATGTTTTTTTAAGAATGTGTTATTTATTAACGGTTATATATATATATATATATATATATATATATATATATATATATATATATATATATATATATATATATATGTATGTATATATATATGTAATAAAGAATAAAGGAAATTATTTTAATCGGATATTTTATTACTTCTTATTTGACATAAACGACCTAATGACCCATTTTTATATATTGAATAACATATATATATATATATATATATATATATTTTATTAGATTATTTTTATTTTATATATTAAACAATATACTATATATTGATATATCTTTCACACACCCACGAACACACATACAGAACAGAGATAATGCAAATATAATGATGAATTGTAGCATTCCCCTAAATAAGAAGATCACAGCATGAAGAACAAATGGTAAAAGTACGAATATGTAATGAAAATTATGTTTCTAATAGACTTTCAAAGAAATGTGTCTAATGAATGTCATATAGATGCGGTTACTTGTACGATTTAAAAAGATGACAATATAGCAGTGACAAGATTTGCGGAACTAGCAATAGTTAAGATTGATATATGGATGGGAATACAGTGAGATAAATATGAAAAGATTGACATAGATAGATAGATAGATAGATAGATAGATAGATAGATAGATAGATAGATATGATCAGACTGACTATAGATAGATAAATAGATAGATATGAACATACTGACTGTAGATAGATAGATAGATAGATAGATAGATAGATAGATAGATAGATAGATATGAACAGACTGACGATAGATAGATAGATAGATAGATAGATAGATAGATAGATAGATAGATATGAACATACTGATTGATAGATAGATAGATAGATAGATAGATATGAACAGACTGACGATAGATAGATAGATAGATAGATAGATAGATAGATAGATAGATAGATAGAATATGAACATACTAATTGTAGATGATAGATAGATAGATTGATAGATAGATAGATAGATAGATAGATAGATAGATAGAACAGACTACTATAGATAGATAGATAGATGAAACATACTGACGATAGATAGATAGATAGATAGATAGATAGATAGATAGATAGATAGGAAGTGAGTGCTGAAAAATCTTCTTTAGTCAGATTTTAGGAAGTCGACATTCCCTCCTAGACCGAGGGATATAGATATTTTGCAAGGATAAAATAAGAATCGGTTGTAAACAAGATGATAAGTATAAATATTTACTCATATTTATTCGTCACGAAGAGGAAGTCTTAATTTGAGACGAGAAGACCAACTGGGCAAGCCTGAACGGCTTGCCCAGATGAAATTATTTGCCATTCATTGGCCGCGTATCCAGTGCTACTTGAGTTATGCTTTTCTTCAGTCCCTGGCAATTGAGCTGTGATCAATGTGTAGAATCTGTTCTCCTCATCTCTAATGGCAATGGTAATATTGGCCGTTTCTCTACAAGGAAACATTTAGCATTCTTTGGCCGAGCAGCCAATACTGCTTTCGATTGAAATTTATAAAATCTTTCTCTTAAAATTTTTTTTACGGAAACCGGGTTTTCATTTCCAGTGGCTGTTATTGCTCTTTCCTGCATTAATGTGAGTTTCCTTCCTAACCTTTTGTCTCAAGTTGTGTGGAACGATATTAACATATTTATTGTGTCATTTTCTTTTCAAATTAAATGTGCCAACCGTTTTAGTTGTTGTTACTGTTGGTAGTCTTCAAGTGATGTGGCTTCTCTATTTTGGTACACTTCTTTGTTTGTTAATCGGTATCGGAAGTCCACGATGTTCAAAGACGAATAATCATTGCCAAGACTCTCAGGCTTCACTCGTTCAAAGCCTCTTCATGATAATGATTAATTTAACTGTTTCCTTATATAGAAACAATTTGACTTTCATTGACCGAGCAGGCAGTGCAAGTTTCAGTTTAAATTTATAAAAATCTTTCTATGAAAACAATGTGTCGTAATGGAATATCCCATTCTCCCTATTGCTTATTGTAGACTGACTATGTCAGTGGATATATATAGTGTGCACAAGATATACCTGAAACTCACTTAGAAAATTAGCTTGGACAAGATATGACCAGCTATGACTAGCTTAGACCATCTCTGACCGGCTTCGACATGCTATGACCAGCTATGACTAGCTTAGACCAGCTCAAACCAGCTAGGACAAGCTATGACCAGCTAAGACTAGCTATGACTAGCTTAGACCATCTCTGACAAGCTTGACCAGCTATGACTAGCTTAGACCAGCTCTGACCAGCTTGGACAAGCTATGACAAGCTAAGACAAGCTTAGACCAGCTATGACCAGCTTGGACAAGCTAAGACCACCTTAGACCAGCGACCCGAGTGAAAAAAACTGACCTTGTGTCACAACCTGACTCAGTGGGGGCTCAAGTAAATATCCTCACTTAGAGAATTAAGCACCTCGATGTGGTGTAATGCTTAGAAAGCTTATCTTGCTAGATCAATTACGACTGAGTAGTGAGTTCGATCCTAACTGGGTGCCCCATACTTTCGGACCTTGTGCCACATCTAAGCCGGGCTTAGAATATCACTACATTGGCTTGCTTTGGCAATTAGTTGGAGATTCTTCTCCAGCTCAGCTAGTCGAACTCTCTGCCTTCAGGCGAGGAGGAACCCAGACGAGGTTATGCCGAAGGGCAGAGTCTCGTCTGGTGTGGTAAGCAGCTACCCGACCCCGTTTTTACGGGGTCTATGGGGAATTTTTTCCCGAGCCTACGGGCTCGGATACCCCACGTTAAATTCGGCCTTGTGGCACATCTGACCGCGTGGGGAGCGGTTGGCAAATATCCTTACTGATAGAATTACTAACCTGCTAACTGATTCCCTGTCTTTCAGTAGTGTATTCTCTTTGACAATAAACCTCTCGTTCTTGTCTGTTTGTAACCTCTTTAAGGATAAAACACAATGGCACCGTGAGTTGTAATATATTAAATCTTTTTTGGGAAAATAAGCTTATCAATTCACTAACTCTTACCACTCTTTCAAATACTGATGAGGATTTCCTTCCTTGCCTTTTGTTTGAAGTGGTGTAGAATGTCAACATCTCGATAATGTCACTATTTTTTATTCGAGTTCCATGTAACATCCGTTTTAGTTGTTGATGTTATTGAAAGACCTCAAGTGATGGGGTTTCTGTTATTTGTTCTTTCTTTGTGATTCTGTAGCGCCAATCCACGTAGTTCAAAGAATGGTCATTGATAAGACCTCCAGGCCATGTTAACTGCTGTGATAGATAGATAGATAGATAGATAGATAGATAGATAGATAGATAGATAGATAGAAGCAGACTTAGAAACATAGATATGAACAAACTTCGATATACATAAACAAACTTAGATATGAACAGACTTAGAAAGAAAGAAAGAAAGAAAGAAAGAAAGAAAGAAAGAAAGAAAGAAAGAAAGAAAGAAAGAAAGAAAATGAATAGCCGGAAATAAGCAGTCACAAAAACATAGTTTGATAGATATGAACAGAGATAGATAGATAGATAGATAGATAGATAGATAGATAGATAGATAGATATGAATAGACTGGGATAGATAGATAAAAGAAAAATGATTGATAGATATGAATAGACTGAGATAGATAAAAGAAAAAAGATAGATATGAATAGACTGAGATAGATAGATAGACAGATATGAACAGGCTTATATAGATAGATAGATATGAGCAGACTTAGAAAAATAGATATGAAAAGACGGAGATGTGAACAGACTTCGATATGTATGAAAAAACTTAAATATGAACAGACTTAGATAGATAGATTATGAATAGACTGAGAGTGGGGGGGTAGATAAAAGCATGAAACTAAATGAAAGTTTTTTTCAGTGACATTTTTAACAAAATTTAAGACGTTTTTTCAGTGTCATTTTTAACAAATTTTAAGACGTTTCGCGCCAAATATATTAACTGTAATCGATCGAAAAAGTCATGGAATCTCGCCAAGAAGTGATTGCTGCTGTTCAATATTCTCTATTCCCAGAAGCGTCAGTAACTCGAAATAAGAGAATACGAACGCCCTGGTTACTGCCTGACATCGAGTGAGACCAACCGCCTCGGCGTGGAGCGTCTGCGTAAACTGGAAGCGAGCCTCGAGTTCTGCTTGCCGCTTGGCATTTTCTTGGGCCAAACGAAGCGCTTCTTCCATTAATTGTTTCGCCTCCGCTTCCTGTTGGATTCTGTAAATAAAAATTGGATTTGAAATTAGTACAAGAAAAGAAAACGTTAGTGGTCTTGAAAGACAAATAAAATCTCATCATTGTCGAAGGAGCAATTTGCAAGGTTGTAACCTAAAGGACAGAAAATGTGGCACCGATTCCGAAGGCGCTTGCAATAGCGAAACATGCCTTCCAAAATCTAAACAAAGTATTAAGATACAGAAAAATATCGCTAGATATTTCTAGAAAAGAGTTCAGAACGGTTACCTAATATGGAAGTGAATGATGGCTAATCTCGCCCCAAATGATAAAGAAACTTGAAGCAGCAGTAACGTAATTCTAGAGAAGGACGCTGAAAATCCTATGGACTGGACATGTAAGTAACGAGGAAGTTTTCAGAAAACAAAAAGGATGCTTATGTTGAATAGATAGATAGATAGATAGATAGATAGATAATGAAGACTTGAAGCAACAGAAACGTAGTTCTAGAGAAGGGTGCTGATAATCCTATGGACTGAACATGTAAGTAATGAGGAAGTTTTTAGGAAACAAAAAGGATGCTTATACTTGGAATCATAAAGTCAGTTGAAATTTCTCGGTTTTATAAAGAGGAAAAGTGACTTTATTGCCTTTGCTTTAAATTCTCTCTCTCTCTCTCTCTCTCTCTCTCTCTCTCTCTCTGGCATCTTGGTTTTTTATAGCCTTTCCATCCCCGTAACGTAACGTGCCTTTTCTATAAATATTTTCATGTTAATTTTCCTGATGATCTTCTTTAAGAGCAGTACTAGATTGGTGGCAATGTCTTAACAATTCACATTTGAATTGGCTGAATGTAACCGCAAGTTCTATGCTAACAGTTTCTTCTCTCGCTCTTCACACTTAATTATTGTCCTCTCTCTTTAATGCTTGTTTTTCTACTGTTCTCTGACACTCAGCAATTGATTCGACATAATTTTTCCATTTCACACGAGCAGAAAATGTTAGCTTGAGACGGTATAGGTTAGCATCAGCCATATGCTGATGGAAGGCAGAAAGGTTTCTCTGAGACAATTAATCAAGAGCAGTATTGTTTTGGATGCCTTAACATTAGGAAACTATTCCGTTCTCCATTTAGCAACAGAATGTACATCATTTTTTTAGATTAGCTGTTAATTTGACCTTATCGAATCATTCAGACTTACTATTAAGACAGGATAAAATAGTTGTATCATCAACATAGATACTGCGTTGATAACTGATGACATCAGGAAGGTCATTGATTAAAATTAGGAACAGCGTAGGTCCAAGGAGAGAGCCCTGAGGAACACCTGTATTAATACAAAAAAATCTAGAAGAGTGGCCATTCAAGATGACTTTCATTTCGCAATTTCATATGAAAGATGGAATCAGTTCAAAAATTCGTCTAGAAATACTATAACCTTTCAACTTGTGAAGAAGACCAGCACGCCAAAGTCTGTCAAATACCTTCTAGATATCCAAAGCAATAACCCAAGCTTCACCATTCTTATCTACAGCAAAGCGTGATAGACACTTTCAGCAATAATCATTAACATATTAGCAGTTGACCTAGAGAAGCATAACGCATATTGGTTATCTGAAAGAAGATCCTACGATGTGAGATGCTTAATCAATTCGGAGTTAATTAGAGCCTCTAGTATTCGCCAAATTTTAGTAGAATGCTAACAGGCCGATAGAATAAGTTCTTAAAGACTGGAACTTCAGAAGAGCATTTTCAACACACAGGAAAGAAGTAGCAAAGCATTTATTATAGAGTTTAGAGAGAACAGGAGCCAGTTCAGGAGCACATTTCTTAAAGACTATTGCAGGGATGCCATCAAATCCACATACTTTGTGAAGATCTGGTTTAGGAATGATAGCAGAAACAATAGACGGAGCTATAGGCATATCCCTCACTAGAGACTCAGTTCAAAGTGGAACGTCAGGCAAAGGTACTCCAGACGGGTGAAGAGAATTTACGAGCAAAACGTTCTGCTTTACCAGCAGATGCTAACATCTCAAATTGAGTGAAGAGAGGATGGATAGAAAACTTACTCTTATTTAACACACTTTCACAGAACCGCCGGTAATTACGTGAAGCAAACTTGTTAGAGGCTGTACGGTCCCTCATTCTGTCAGCAAACAAAGACTTAGCCTCTTTGAAGATACGTTTAAAATTATTTCGAGCATTCAAAAATAGGATTCTGTTGCGATCGTAGTTATCACGCTCCTACAGCCAGAAAAGTGATTCCAGTGGGCTATAGCGGCTGAACAAACTGGTGTGAACCAAGAAGAATATTTGAGGGAAGGTACAAAAGCATCAATGCCAGCTTTAAACCCAGAAGAAACATCAATGGCACGATTCCAAATAGGAAGATTAAGAATATCAATCCAAGGGGCGCTTCGAAAATGAATCCAAATCAGTACGCTGGTAACAGAAAGAAGTCTTGTGAATAAGAGGTCCCTTTCTAATAGACGACTCGGAATAAATAACAGATACTAATGAATGATCTGAATTGCCAAGAGGACATAGCTAGAAGAAGACGGAAATCAAGTAAAGACGAATGTTGAATAGATTTATTAGGGAAGCTAGTAGGGAAATCCACTATTTGACTGAGAGAACGAGCAATAAAAAAATTGAAAGCCTGAATAACGGTGACATCCGTAATTCTTAAGCCACTTGACATGATAAACATTAAAATCACGATCACAAAAATGTTGGCAGATGGATGTAGAGAAGGAGCCCTTTCTATATTATCAGAAAATTTGTTTAATATAGTACGTTCCTAAGAAGGAGGAGAGCGATAAAGGAAAAAGAGATAGCTAACAGAGTGCAATAAAGAAAGTCGAAAGCACAAGAAAGGATAATCCGGGAACTCGAGAGACGATTCCCTTGCAATTGATAAGTTTTCCCGAATATAAACACCGAGGCCATGCTTATGTATGCTAGAATCTTTTTGGTACAGGGGAATATAGCCTGGAACAGAAAATTAATTGGTAGCCATAAAAGAATTTGAATGAGTTTCACAATATGGGAAAACATCTGGAGATCGTTTCAAGAAAAAAGATTCTATACGACTGAAATCAGAACGAATGCAACCAATATTGAAAAAAGTTTGGTTGTTTAGTACGTGTTTTGTTGTTGTTGTTTTTGTTTGCTGGTTTACCCTTATTTCTTTTCATTGTGCTTGTCATAAGAATATTTGTTTTAAGAAGAAAACCAAAATAATTATCCCTATCGTCTATGGCAATAGAAACTGGCTAGAAGGTGGCTAAGACTAAAGCATATTGTGACCTTAGGTTTCCCCACTGGAAATACATGCAGGGACACCTACCCATGTGCAACATAGTACTACAGATACCCCAATATTATGTGACTGTTGATCAGAGCTTGTTCTTTAAGTGCTACCAAAGATTTTGGGCTCCTTACTACCAGTCGAAAGAAGCAACCAGAAATCTACCAACCCTGTACGCTCTTAATGAAAAGTCCCAGTCACTAATCAGTCAGATCACTAAAAAGATAAGTCAGTTAAATCATTATGGAAGAAATAAATAAAAAAGAACCAGTAAACCATATCCTAAACAGGAGACAAGGGATAAACCGCTATACCTGTTCAATAAACATGGAACGCGTGTGGGCAGGCTGATAGTTGAAGCCTATCTACTCCTATTAACCTGTTCAAAGCACAGGAGCCTAGGCACATTTATCAAAACACCATGTGTAGAAAGGTTGCTGTATAAGGCTCTCAATCCTTCTCAGGGCAAGTAGGATTACTGAATTATAAAACTTCTCTTAAGAGTTTAAATCAGATATTAACAAAATTAGATAAATTAATCTCATTAAAATTAATAAAAATTAAACTTTAAATATACATACAAGCACAAACATACATGTATATTTTATACTGAACATCAGGATAACAACTTTTTTGTCAAATGGACAACTTATTTTTACTATTATCATAATTTCTTTTTAAATGAAGAATAATAGAATTAGAAATTTTAAAAAGTTATAAGGATTTTATGCTATTGTCATGGATTTTAACCATCCAGTATGACTCTCATTTCTAGCATTAATATACTGTGAGGCAGACTACTGAAAATATATGAAGGGTTACTTTAGAATGGTCCTCTCATGGGTTGGAAATAATGAGGGTTACTCTTGCCCTGGCCTTTGCTTCTGAGAGAAAATACAGGTCACACAATACCATATACACACAGAGAAACATATATAAATAAACACATAAATACGCACACATACACACACACACACATACATATATATATATATATATATATATATATATATATATATATATATATATATATATATATAGATAATATTAGTGGAAAATATACATACATATGAAAAATATATCTAAAAATTCCCATACATGTATATTTTCAGAAAAAATTTTCAAGAGGAAGGATCCAGGTAGAATTCAATGTCTAGGACAGAGTAAGGATATAATAAAAGGCTTAAACACTAATATTCCATGGTCATAATTTATTCCATTGGAATCGTAAATACGATCCAAATCATCAGACCTACAAATTCAAAAAATGAAAACAGAAAAAACAAAAAAACAACTCCGGAAATCAAAACAGAATTTAGAGAAATATATATATATATATATATATATATATATATATATATATATGAAAAATTAAATATCAAATCCTCCTAATAATTTCTGTCATGTGTACATCATTGCTTGAACCAGCTTCTAATGCTCTAGAGTGAGCTGCTTGTTTATAGTAGTCGTGGCTCCAGGGGGCACAGTCCTATGTTTACAGAGAACTCAGTCAGAGTTCCACCACGGAATATGTGAGCGAGCGGCGCTAAGTTGAGTCTGATTTGGAATCTCTTCGTCGAGGCCCGGTGGAACAGTTGGTATGATGTTTGCTTGACAACCTAACTGTCAGGGTTTCAATTCTCGGTAGTGGAGGCGCTCTGCTGATGAGTCCCAAATAGAGGACGAAACGGCCGTCCAGTGCTTTCTGCACTCTGTTGAGGTTTCTATCAGACTCGATGAATTACTTATATATATATATATATATATATATATATATATATATATATATATTACATTGGATGACATAATAAACCGTTCGTCGTAAAATATACCACTTATTATTATTAATTACTTCTGTTATAATTTCTGTTTAAATGATAAATAATAGAAAGAAAGCCATCAATAAAAGAATAAAATAATCATCAAATAAATATGGGACCATTTTTAATTTATTGTTAAATATAAAATGTTTGAAATAGGAATTTAGGTTTACTCAGGGAATACAGTTACTTCTGAAAACCCTCCACTAGCCTAACCGAAGAAAACTACGAGGCCCAAACTACAAATTATATATATATATATATATATATATATATTACAATACCAACAATGATTGTCTATCCAACATTTTTCCACCGTCTCTTTTTTCTTTGAAGTGTCATGTCTTCAAGGAGAATATTCGGAGTTGTTTTCCCTTACCGTTTATTTAGTAGGATGCATGAAATTCTAGTATTTTCCTTCTCTCAATCTTGTTGCCAGCCAGTTTAGTCAACTATTTGATCCATAGCTGCATTAGGTTGGAGATTCAAGCAAAGACGGTCGCACGCCTTTCCAAATTAATTTGTGTGAAAGTGAAAGCAACAAGCTAGGACAGGATTTGAACTCGCCCCGCTGATTACATTTTACTTGCCTATAACAGTTACCTACCTACAAGTTTTTGTTTTGTTTTTACAATATCAAACGTAAATAATGGAAAGAGGTTCCCTGAGGCTGGAATCTATTAGCCGGAATCCGTATTCGCGTCAAACAACTTAAATCAGAAGAATAAAGTCCAGAGAAAGAACTAATGGTCTTCACGGGACCGGTGAGGTGACCCAGGGTGCTTGCGTTTTACACTTGCTTTAAAAGATGGACACTGATTGCTATTTGCCGAACACCTCCCAACTGAGTTGTTTTTGTAGTGTCGGGTGGAGGTTCGCTTTGCGGTTGGTTTTTGTTATTTGGCCAGCGAGCTTAGTTTAGATCTTGCGCGCTGACCTGTCCTCGCGGATAAGAGGACCACTTAATTTTCCGTCTCCTCCCGAACCTGGGTTTGACAGATGGATAGGCCGCAGGGAGGGGACTCAGGAAAAAGTATGATCTAAAGCCGGAGTAGCCGATTCTGAACGCGAGGAACGAACGTGGGGTGGGCAGTTGAACTCTGAGAAATAAAGAGTTTCTTCGTTGCACGGCAGAATTTAAGATCAATTCAGAATAAAGGAGGACTCTGGGTTGAGGATGAAGCCATTATAACAGTAAAACGTCTTAATAGGTATGTATGTATATATATGTGTTTATGAGCGTGTGCATGAGCTTGTGATGTGTATATACAAGTAATTAAATGATATTTATATAAGCATTTATTTCTTACGATGATAGGTAAATATTAGTCGTTTAAATTTGAGTTTATAAACGGTTTTGTGAGATAGGCATTTATGGAAAGGTCATGTCAACCATTTTTAAGCAATTTAATATCGAATGCAATCTTTTAATTATATTTAAGTCCGTAAATAGATAGATAGATAGATAGATAGATAGATAGATATATATATATATATATATATATATATATATATATATATATATATATATATATATATATCAAGAAAAGAACACTAAGATATATAATCCGGTGTTCTTATTGATATAGTTTTTTTTATTTTTAAAAAACAGTGCTCAATGTAAATTTACAGAGCATAAATATTATAAATTAACTGATTGAAAATATGTTTTTTTTCGCTACACAGTAATAACCATGTTTCAAAAATGGAAGCTAAAACTTTGAATTTAATTATATAATTAAATTAAAAGCATTAGTTCTGTTTCATCTTCAAGCGAATATTGGAATAACTTATTTTTAAATTAACTGTGTTTTAAACGCACATATAAATTCAGAATTTCCTGTTTCCAACAATGCAGAGAAATCCAATCATTCAGACAGGGGCTGTAGCGTGTTCATTTTTATTATGAGTTTTTATTATGAGTTACGTTCGAAAAAGAGGTTAAGTTTAGGGAGGATAGGGGTGTATTTCTCAACGAATTCTGACATCCGTTAAATGCATGTCGTCTGTTTTTTTTTTGTTTTGTTTTTTTATTAACGGCAAAAAGTTTTTCGGCATTTTTTTCATACTTGTATACTTAAAGATTCTTTTTATTACTGTGTAGCGAAAAAAACATATTTTCAATCAGTCAATTTAAAATATATATATATATTTATTAAAGACATTTTTATTTATGTTTAACGTTGTTATTTTATAGATACAAGTATTTAAAAATGCTCTGTTTATGATAAACAGTTTAAATAACATTTACTTGCCTGAATGTCTGAAAAATTTTTTTATAGAAAATATTCGTTCATAGACAATCCTAACCGTCATATACGCTGACGTGCCTTGACCACTCAGGCCACCATTGAAACAAGGTCGAATTATATAAACTATATATATATATATCGAATGTAAACAAATGACGTCATATGTTAAGAAATATATTTATTAAAGACATTTTTATATATATTTTATAAATATTGTCTACCATAAGGTTTATGGTGGCCAGTGGTCAAGGCACGTATATATGATTCCGTATAGGATGCAGGTTCGAATCCTTATTTTCTATGAAAATTTCTCGGATATAAAAATATTTAATACTGTTTATCAAAACAGAGCATTTGCTTAAATACTTAATATCTATAAAATAACAACGTTAAACATAAATAAAAAATTTCTTTTAATAAATAAATATATTTCTTATATATATATATATATATATATATATATATCTCTGATATTGAGCAGTTTATCCCATAAATATAGCACATCTTAGGTCTATATTTCTTCTTATATATATATATTAAACAATACCGACAATGACTGTCTATCCAACATTTTTCCAACGTCCGACTATATTGTTTTATGTCAGGATGGAAATTCGATTATACATCCTAAAAAGATAGATAGATAGATAGATATTATCTCATGTTCAATATAAGAGATTTAATGCAGGCAATTTTTTAATAATATTTTTCACACTACATCTCTTTTCTCTTTAAAGTGACATGCCTTCAAGGAGAATATTCGGAGTTGTTTCCCCTTACCGTTTATTTGGTAGGGTGCATGAAATTCTAGTATTTTCCTTCTCTCAGTCTTGTTGCCAGCCAGTTTAGTCAACTATTTGATCCATAGCTGCATTGGGTTGGAGATTGAAGAAATTATGGAAATTGTTTTATTATGGTGATAGGTAAATATTGTTCGTTTATATTTGTGTCAACTGTAGGATTTTTCCCCGGATACGTGTGTGTTTGTGTTCGGCAGTCTGAGTGAAATAAAAAAAGAACCAAAAGCTTGAAGGTACCTTTTCAAACAACTTTTTATTGGTTGAAAAAGGAGTGCAGAATCGTAGTAATTTGCGGGGAAGAGAGAAAGGTTTTTCCAGTTAACCATGTTTTAGAGAGTGTAGTAATTATTTTAGGCAGGAGATCTCCCCGCTGGTTCCTGCAGGAGGAACGAGAAATCCCAATGTGAAAATGCTTGGTCAGGCCTCGTTTTTTTTGGCAGCAAGGGCTAAGCGGAATTTCCATTGTTGTGCTTAAACGGGAGATTTCTCCGCGGGTTCCTCCGGGGGGAACGAGAAATCGAACTGTGAAACTGCAGCATGGGTTAAGCGGAGTTTCCTTTGGTGTGCTTCGAAGGGAGGTTTTTCTGTCGGTTCCTGCGGGCGGAACGAGAAAAATAACGTCAAGCTGCCAAGTCAGACCTCGTCTTCTGCAGCAGGGCTTGCGTGTAGCTGAACCGCCGAATGTGTAAAAAAGGAAAAAAGAGACAGCTGGCCGAATGTAGAGGCAGCGGAAATTCACTGAAAAAAAAAGCCGAATAAGGCTCGGTCAAGGCTTTTATAACATCAGGGATTTCCGGTTATACTCTGATTATTTCCGCTGCTGCTACTGTTGAATCGGGCAAAGTAAGGAAGCCCCCACATGCTACAGTAGCCAACAAGTGAGATAGTTTTTTATATTATAAACGTCTTGTGAGGATATGCATTGATGTAGATGTCATGTCAACCGCTTTTAGCCTATTTAATGTCGAATGCAGTCTTCTTATTATATTTAAGCCTGTAAATATTTATTTATTATGGTGATCGGTAAATAACGGTCATTAATATTTGAGTCTATGAACGGTTTGCGGGTAGGTAAATATGAATGGTTTATCTTTCACTCTATGTATTTACTTGGTTTGGAGATAGGTAAATACCGGTTGTTTGCATTTGAGTATTTTAGTATTTATTTGGTTTGGGGATAAGTAACTATTGTCCGTTTATATCTGAGTCTATAACAATTACAAGTAAACTAAGGACCGTGAACTACAAGTACCCAGTTTGTTATTCTGAATGGTTCGCTAAATTTCATGAGGAAAACTTTTGCTTTGTTCTGTTCTCACTTGTTCACTCACACACTCTCTCATACATTTTGGGGAAATCATTTTTGGTAGATTGACATTATATAGACCTTCCTTAGTCCGAGGCACTTGTCAGACTCGAAAAATATTTATTTTTTATCTATTTAGAAAGAGAGTTTTCTTTATAATATCGATAGAGGGACAAATCAATCTCTGAGTTATATTACTTTAAGTTATTTTGCGTACGAAAACAATTTTTAGTTACAAAAAGATTTCTCTTAATAATAATAATTAAAAAACAGACCGCCCGCTTAAGGTAAGGCTTCAAGAACACCAAAAAGCTGTAACACGAGGGGAAGTGAAAAAATCAGGCATGGTTTACCACATATGGTGAGAGAAGGGAGATGGCCGCCATCTGTGGGATCATGTTGAGATCATAGACAAAGAACACCATTGGAAAATTCGTAAACTTAAGGAATCAGCACATATGCTAGGCCACAAAAATCTCCTGAGCCGAGCAAGCATAGAAATGAATACAATATGGGAACCAGTAATAAAAAGTGTCAGAGAAAATCGATAATAACAACAAAATTGCAATATGAGCTCTGGTAAAAAAATCATGCAATAACAGCAAAAATTGCAATATGAGCACAGGCAAAAATTTTTTGCTGAAGACATATATATGACCCAGAATTTCATACACAGATGTCCTCAAGGACACATGGTACAGTGGATAAAGGCGTTAGTTACCAAAGAGTGTGAGTTCAATACCTGGTTAAGGCAGTGGAGATCATTCAGAAGGAAATTAACAGGAGATAACTGATAACTAACATCCATTAATAATGGCACCGTGGAACTAGAACACTAGAACAGTCTACCCTAGACAGATGAAGCGAATAAATATGGCGGTTCAGTCCGAATAATGTAAATAGTGTACATAATACCTCATCTCAAAGAAATATAGACAAAGATACAATAGAATAATGGGGAAATATAGAAACGTTTGTAATAAATATGGCGACAAAGATGAGGACAATAGTCCGAATAATGTAAATAGTGTACATAATACTTTATCTCAGAAATATAGACAGATACTGAAAGGCCGAAACGTTGTAATAAATATGGCGACAAAGATGAGGACAATAGTCCGAATAATGTAAATAGTGTACATAATACCTCATTTCAGAAATATAGACAGATACTGAAAGTCCGAAACGTTGTAATAAATATGGCGACAAAGATGAGGACAATAGTCTAAATAATGTAAATAATGTACATAATACCTCATCTCAGAAATATAGACAAATTAAAAAAACGTTTGCATGTATTTTGAAGTAAAGAATAAAAGTCTACACAATCTAATAAAATTATGTATCCGTTTATTAATTAAATCAAGACCACTATCTTTTTTAAGTTAGGGATCGATATGAAACTGTATTGATATTATAAAGAGATCCCTCGTTTTAAAATGTTGAGAAACAATATTTTCGAATCTGACAAGTGTCGCAGCCCAATGAGGATCTAAAACTGTCAACAGGTGCGGCCCATTTGGTGTTCTTGAATGGCACGCTTAATTTTATCAGGAAAATAACGATTCTTAAAATTTTGTTTTGTTTCATTCTCACTTGTTCACTCACACATTCTCTCATACATAACCAAATACATAAACAAGGATTAAGTACAATGTTTCTTGAATGTTGTAAAATTCCGGGGAAAGTAACGTTTTCATCATTTTAAACCATCAGCGATTATCATTAAGGAAGACCATACGTGTAAACATCTTTTGCTTCATATAGAGGAAACGGCACTGTAACACGGTTTTTCTTCTTGGGTAGCAATTGTCTTTTATTTGCTTATGCCTAGAAAAGTATGAAAATTGGGTAATATTTCCTTCAAATTTTGCTTTTGTGACCAAGATAAGGATGTATCAGAAGTTTATGTATTCCCATTGCAAAAAGGGGGGACAAAAAACATACGATTCAAAAATTGCATTTATATATAATATTATTTATAATTTATTTAAATTATATAATTTATAATAAGCCATAATTTAAATCTAACAAACATTATTTCGAATATCAGACTTAGCCAAAGAACGTAAACGAATATATATATATATATATATATATATATATATATATATATATATATATATATATATATATATTTAGAGATATATTTAAAGATATATTTAGTTAAGATATATTTAGTTAAGTTATGAAGAAACCGAATTAGTAAATCCAAGGAGGATGAAATCCTGAGAGCTCAATGTTAAGAACAGAGCTAATATTTAATGAAAAACAGACCACTTTAAGGTACAGAGATGTAAATTTAACGCTCCCTATACTTTGTATTGTCTCTTTAACAGCCACCTTCACCCTTCCTGTTTAATTACAAAAATTACGCTACCCATCAATTTCTAATCACATTTTTCCTCTCATGTCATTGTTAGAAGTGTTACATGATGATCCAAAATCCTTTAAAAAGGATTTTGGTGAAATAAATTATTGTAATGGCACCTAAAAGTGGTCTGTTTTTCATTAAATTATATATATATATATATATATATATATATATATATATATATATATATATATATATATATATATATATATATATATATATAATATATATATATATATATATATATATATATATATATATATATATTAAAAAAGATATGTTTAGTGGTAAAAATTTTATCACTGCCATGAATAGACAAAATTAATTTTATTATTACCACTCACGATAATAAAAAGTAAAAATGAAAATGAAAAACGGACTAGCTAACCGGTTTCGTACCTCGCTCAACAGAGCTAAATCGAGGTAAATTGGAGTAAATTATATAATAATAAAAACAATTGTTTATATATATATATATATATATATATATACTTTATTTATTACTTTTATATTTACACACGCTCTAAATCTGATATTGAGCACTTTATCCCATAAATACAGCATATCTTAAGACTATATTTCTTCACATATATAAGACATTTTTTATGTTTATACGTTATTTTTATAAAAAAAAATATTTAAGTAAATGCTCTGTTTATAATAAACAGTATTAACAACATTTACGGGCCTGAGTGTCTGAGATATTTTCATAGAAAATATCGTCCTCCGACATGAATCGAACCAGCATCCTATACGGAACTGTCATATAGCTTGACGTGCCTTAACTGATTGGGCCACAGAGAATCGTTCGGTTAGCAGGGTCGATTTTACTGTTTTTAAACACAATTCTCCATGATTTTCTCTCATTCTTTCATACCTGCTCAATGCGTATCCAAATGTAAACAGATGACGTCATACATTATGAAATAAACAGTATTAAAAACATTTACTGACCTATGAAAATTTCTCGGACATTCAGGCCTGTAAATGTTGTTAATACTGTTTATTATAAACAGAGCATTTACTTAAATATTTGTATCTATAAAAAAAGAACGTATAAACATAAAAAATGCCTTAAATAATTGTCGGACATTGTCCATTTCATATATATATATATATATATATATATATATATATATATATATATATATATAGTTGGATCGATGTGAGTTTGTGACCCTGGGTTTCATGCGACTTGCGATAATCAGAAGCGTGAAAACCAGGATCACAAAATCACATCAATCCAACTAAATATGTTAGCTCTATCACTGATATTGAGCACTTTCGAATAATTACCGCGCAAATATAATATATAAATAATATATATATAAAAATTTCACATATATATATATACACACAAATACTTTACACACACACACACGCGCACAGATAGATAGATAGATAGATAGATAGATAGATAGATAGATAGATAATAAAATGAAAATAAATAAATAATAATAATAGAGAATCTCACTGTTATAAATATAAATAAGATTTTAAACCTAAACAAAAAACTAGGAAGAATTGGGTCTTCATCTTAATCCCCACCAGTTGACTATATGTACAGCCCACGCAAAGAGGAATAATGAATGGTCTGTTTAATGCATTAATGCCTAATTTCATGAGGAAAATAACATCTATTAAAATGTTGTTTGTATCGTTCTCACTTGTTCACTCACACACTCTCGTATACATAAACAATGATTAAGTACAATGTTTCTTGAATCTGTTAACTTTCGTTGAAGGTAACGTTGTCTGCATTTTAAACCATTGGCGGTTTTCACTAAGGAAGATCATACGTGTAAACATCTCTTGTTTCAGAAACAGGAAACTTTAATAATACTTTTTTTTCCTCTGAAGATGAAATATATTTATTTATATTGAAAAAATATTTTTGTATTTTCAAATGAATAAATTAAAAACAAATCACACGCAGCCTCGTGTGTTAATCCTAATGTCTTTATTAATAATATTATTATCAATAATAATAATAATTCAAATATAATAATAATAATTGATAATAAGAATAATAACAACAACAACAATAATAATAATAATAAACACAATACACCGGCTGAAGCCGCAAAATACTTAAAAAAGAGCGCAAAGACAAATGCAACCGACCAGACACAGAAACAATGGCAAGATAAACCGCTTCATGGCCAATACTCTGCCCGTACCAAACAAGCTGACGTAGACAAAACCCGTACCCAACAGGGGCTACGTAGTGCAGGGTTGAAAGCTGAAATTGAAGGTTTTCTTCCTTGCTGCACAGGACCAATGCTTGTTAACTAGGAATTATCAAGCACATATACTAAAATATTGTGTTAGCCCAAAATACAGATTCAGTGATAAATATCCAGAAACGATTGATCATCTTGTATCAGGTTGCACGGTATCGGCACCCACTGAGTATAAAACCTGGCATGACAGAGTGGGCCAATATCTGCATTGGAAAATCTGCAACTTCTACGGGAAGGAAACTGAAAGAAACTGGTATGAACACCAACCAAAGCAGGTTACGGAGATAGGACCTGTTACAATTCTATGGGACTACACAATACACACTGACAGAACAATCAAAGCCAACCGCCTAGACATTGTTATTAAAGACCACAAACAAAAAAAGTGCCTCGTTATTGATATGGCAGTCCCTGCTGACTGCAATGTATCTTTGAAGATATTCAAAAAGCTGTCAAAATACAAGGACCTTGAAATAGAAATCTCAAAAATGTGGCATATGGGAACATCAACAATCCCTGTTGTAGTTGGAGCCCTAGGACTGGTTGGAAAAGATTGCAGTAGACTAATTGAAGGGATTCCTGGAAGTCCATGCCTAAAGGAAATACAAAAAATTGTTCTGACAAGTACAGCCCACACTTTACGAAGGGCTTTATCTATGTAATTTATTTTTTTTTTTTTTTTTGTCAGTGGAAAGTGTCAAGATGCCATTTATAATCTTAGGTCCCTGGGCGGGACCCGGAAAGAAATGAGTAAACGCCAGAAATCAAAATAAATAAATAAATAATAATAATAATAATAATAATAATAATATTTCAATTTTTTAATTATAGAAAATATTCTCTCCAAAGAAAAACATCAACTGTTTTCCATTTCTAACGCTTATGGTCTTCTGTAGTGAAAATGGCTGAGATACCATCAACGATTATTTACCTTGAATCTTTTTAACAGCCATTATAGACTCAAATATAAAAGCAGACAAGTAATAGTTACTTGTCCCCATACCAAGTAAATACTAAAAGACTCAAATACAAACAACAGGTATTTAACGATATAACGAAATCAATCAGCCATATCTCATACAGTCCACTAGTTATAAAAGACTACCTACACCTGGTCTATAAGAAGTCACTTGGTTCGAGGTTAGGTAAGTATTAGTCATTTCTATTTGAGTCTATATTTACTGGTTCGAGTAAATATCTGTTGTTTATATTTGAGCAAGTTTATTTAGTAGGTGGCCTATTTAGGATATCTTAAACCCTGTGCAGGTGATTCAGTTTGCATATTATAGAACCCGCCGACCGAATAACATTATGAAATACATTGATAACAACTTGAAACAGAGATCGTGGGCGGGGCTTCCTCACTGTGTCCTTCAAGGCATTTTTCGGCTACAGTTGACTATCATTAAATAAAACGTTATAGGTAATCATCTCCAATCTGATCCAACTTTGATAAGATGGACATACCTTTCCAAGTGTCATTAAGTAAGAAATGAACAGAAAGTACCCCGGACGAAATTTGAACTCAGTACTCCGGTTCTATTTAGTCTGCTGATAACCGTCAGGTCAATTCTGTAAGTCGGGTTCTTATATGATGCAATATGCATGGAATTATAAGGTGAGCGGAGATTGTTGCATGCGTCATGTGCAAATGAAACGTTGGAGATTTTTAGGTAAACCAGACTATCCTTTTGTCGACGTACCTTTGTCGATTCTTCCAGAACTCTCAAACGTCCCTGAAAACCACTCCTCCAGTAAAAAAAAAAACAAAAAAACACCTTTTTTATAATTATTTTTACTTTCTTTGAGATATCGTGCCGTAAGGATTTTTATTTACATTATTGTCGCCATATTTATTACAACGTTTCGGCCGTTGTACGCGACGGCCTTCTTCAGGTGGTTGGAAGTCGAACTGAACCCTTTCTTTCGCTCACTGGGGTAGACTGTTCTAGTTCCACGTACCATGTCAAATGCATGTCAGTTATCTCCTGTTAATTCCCCTCTCCAAGTTCTCCACTGCCTTAACGGGGTATTGAACACACACTCTTTTGGGTCCTGTCACTGGATCTAACTAACGCTTTTATCCACTGTGCCATGTGTCGTTAAAGACATCTGTGTATGAATTTCTGGGTATTATAAACCTAATGTCTTCAGCAACCATTTTTTACCAGTGCTCATATTGCAATTTTGCTGTTATCATTGCATGGTTTTACCAGAGCTCATATAGCAATTTTTGTTGTTATCGCTTTTCTCTGACACTCCTTAGTACTGGTCCCCATATTGTATTCATTTCTATGCTTGCTCGGCTCTGGAGATTTTTGTGGCCTAACATATGTGCTGATTCCTTAAGTTTACGAATTTTCTAATGTTGTTCTTTGTCTATGATCTCAACCTGATCTCACAGAGGGTGGTGATCTCCCTTCTCTCTCCATATGTGGTAAGCCACACTTGATTTTTCCACTTGCCCTCATGTTACAGCTTTCTGATGTTCTTGAAGCCTTACCTTAAGGGGGCGGCCTGTCTCCCCTTTATACTTCTTTCCGCAGCTACACGGGATAGCATACACACAGTCCTTAGTCATGTTCTCCTATATGGCGGGGGGGTCTTACTCGGGAGAGATATCTGCGAAGTGTCGTCAAGCTTTTGAAGGTTGTCCTGATGTTTCTGGGGGCTGCTGCCATGTACACAGGGTAGTTGTTACGTTGTTTTGACCTCAGTTTCGTCTAGATACGAATAGACTGACATAGATAGATAGATAGATAGATAGATAGATAGATAGATAGATAGATATGAATAGACTGACATAGATAGATAGATAGATAGATAGATAGATAGATAGATAGATAGATATGAATAGACTGGCATAGATAGATAGATAGATAGATAGATAGATAGATAGATAGATAGAAAGAAAGAAAGAAAGAAAGAAAGAAAGAAAGAAAGAAAGAAAGAAGACTGATATGGTTTCTTTTTTTTTTTTTTTTTTACATTATTCTTCTCCGACCTCTTTCTTTTGTAACTGATTGAACGCACGAGTGATTTTGACATCTAAAAAGATACGTAAAAATGGTAAGTAATAGGCAAGTATTCCACTGGAGCTGGTCTTTGTCATGGCCATTTTGGCTTGACTCCCCTGCCAAACCTTTCTGTGGTACAACGGCGTTTGCAAATCGAAAGTCACAAATCTTTGCAAGTGACAAGAGGCGTAATGGTGGGAGGGGAGGGGGAGATGAGGGGGGAGGAGAAGCTATTAAATGGATGACTTTCGTGACGCACAAGGCATCAGGGGGGAAATTCTAGTGAGCGTGTTGCTTTCAAAGTAAAAAAGAAAATGGGGCGATGAATCGCACGACACGCGAAAACAAAACCGGCAGAAGACAATTTAGGAATAAGTCCATACAAACATATATTGATTAATGGTAAAGGAAGAGCTGTATATATATATATATATATATATATATATATATATATATATATATATATATATATATATATATAAATAAGTAAGTAAAAATAAAACTGGCCAGGAATAGGAAGAATTGTGACAAGAACAAGACAACACACACACACACACACACACACACACACACACACACACACACACACACACATATATATATATATATATATATAGAGAGAGAGAGAGATAAAAGATAGATGGGAAGAATATATATATATATATATATATATATATATATCAAATCTATGTTATATATACATTAATAAATAACCACATATATGATAGATATGAATAGAATGAGATAGATAGATAGATAGATAGATAGATAGATAGATAGATAGATAGATAGATAGATAGATCTGAATATGAGAGAGAAAACGAGTAATGTACCACTGACACCTGTCATTTTTCAAACCTCGGGAAAAGGCGACATCTTGATTGGTGTTATATATATATATATATGTGTGTGTGTGTGTGTGTGTGTGTGTGTGTGTCTGTGTGTATGGCGCGATTTGGCAGCGACAACAAACGAACTTAAGCTAATATGCATATATTTTCTATGTGTGTGTGTTAATCGATTTATCTCAGAGACTTTCTTCGTCTCTCTTTGCTTCACTCAATATATATATATATATATATATATATATATATATATATATATATATATATATATGCATATTTTTGTGCGCGTATGTGTTTGTGTCGTTATCCACTTATCTATCTTACTGTCTATTTGTATGTCTGTCTCTCTTGCGATTGCGTTTAGCATGAAGGAGACAGTCGACTCTGAGTGTTGACTTCAATGTCCACTTTTATCTTTACATAAGCTCTGTCTCTGATATTGAGTACTTTAACCAATAAATGTAGCAGACCATAAAATATATTTTATCATATATTATAATTATTTTCTTTTAAAAAAAAATATTATTCCATCGTGACACGAAAATTACTGTTTCGAAACTTGACTCAAGTCTCAAAGATTAATCTTAAAATGTTTAAAATAACACTAAAATAATTTCTAACATCACTTGAGAATGAAACTGTCCTTTAAATTCTAAGTTTAATATTGAAATTAAACTTTTTTGACTTGAGTCAAGTTTCGAAACATAGTAAGTGGCAGCAGAAGAATTATCGTTGAACTTTTAAAAGATAAGCTTAAACATTAATTCAATACTTAAATGTGGCGATCAATTTTTAGTTCTTCTGTAGTTTATTGATGCCTATCGCATCTAATCCTCCCTAGCTACTATGATGAAGGCCCAATTAAGAGCCCTCCGTAAGATCTAGTAGGGCAGCTTTTAAGATAGTATATATATATATATATATATATATATATATATATTAAAAGACATTTTATGTTTAACGTTCTTTTTATAGATACAAATATTTAAGTAAATGCTTTGTTTATAATAACAGTATAAATAACATTTATGAATGTCCGAGAAATTTTCATAGAAAATATCCGTACTTTGACAGGATTCCTATTTTTACACTGACATGTTTAACCGTCTCGGCCACAAAAGAGCGTTCGGTTTTTAAACTAATCTTCCATGATCTCGTACATTCATATGCTTATCAAATGTAAACAAATGACGTTTGAAATGGACAAAGTTTTATTTAAAAGACATTTTTATGTTTAACGTTCTTTTTTTATAGATACAAATATTTAAGTAAATGCTCTGTTTATAATGAACAGTATTAAATAACATTTACCGGCCTGAATGTCCGAGAAATTTTCATAGAAAATATTCGTCCTTTGACAGGATTCGAACCTGCATCCTATACGGAACCATCATTTACAGTGACGTGCCTTAACCGACTCGGCCTCAAAGGAGCGTTCGAATTTACTGCTTATAAATTTCAATCTCGTACATTCATTAATATATGACGTCATTTGTTTACATTTGATACGTCAGAGCGGTTATGAATGTACGAGATTCATGGAAGATTGAAGTTTATAAAATAAATAAATCTCCATAGACACGTAAACCAGACTAGGCGAAAACATCTTCCGTTTCAAATTTAGACACCCCCACCTTACCCTGACTTGACATCTATGAAAGTAACTCTATACTGATACTTATTATTAACACCCAACACGCCCCTATCTATTTTAAACAATTCGCCCTGGCTGTTACCATGGAAATTGTGATTTCAATTATGAATATACTATTAAAACACGTAAATTTCAGATATAAGTTATTCAAAAAAAAATTTCGCTTGAAGATGGAACAGAGCTTACTTTAAAGTTTGTCTATATTTCTGAGATGAGGTATTATGTACAGTATTTACATTAGTCGGACTATTGTCCTCATCTTTGTCGCCATATTTGTCACAACGTTTCGGCCGTTGTACGCTCCGGCCTTTTTCAGGTGGTTGGAATTTCGAACTGAACCCTTTATTTCGATCGCTGGGGTAGACTGTTCTAATTCCACGTGCCATGTTTGATGGATGTCAGTTATCAGTTATCTCCTGTTAATTTTCCCTCTGAAAGTTCTCCACTGCCTTAACCAGGAATTGAACTCACCTTCTTTGGGTCTGTCACTGGATCTAACCAACGTTTTTATCCACTGTGCCATGTGTCCTCAAGGACACATGGCACAGTGGATAAATTTCACCTGAAGAAGGCCGGAGCACAACGGCCGAATTTATCCACTGTGCCATGTGTCCTTGAGGACACATGGCACAACAACCACCTGAAGAAGGCCGGAGCGTACAACGGCCGAAACGTTGTGACAAATATGGCGACAAAGATGAGGATAATAGTCCGACTAATGTAAATACAGAGCTTACTTTAATTCAATTTAATTCAAATAATTATATTGAAGTGTTCGGCTCTTTTTTTTTTTACATGAGACCCTTATGTCGCGAGTTGGAATCATATTTTTAAATAAATAATTATATATATATATATATATATATATATATATATATATATATATATATATATATAGAGAGAGAGAGAGAGAGAGAGAAACAGAGAGAGAGAGAGAGAGAGAGAAGAAAAGAAGATAAAAATGCAACTGGAGTTTTTAATAATATTTATTTACAGTAACTTTACCAGTTTTACAGTTCTATGATTTTCAAAATGAGATTGAAAAGGAAATTTGTGTGGCTATGGTGTGATATTTCTCTCATCAATCTCAATTTGACATTCGAAAATCATGGATTTGTGAAACCGGTAAAATTATTGTAGATAAATAGTTTAAATACTCCAGATGCATTTCCAACTTTTTCTAATCTTTTTATATTAATAAAACACACACACACACACACACACACACACATATATATATATATATATATATATATATATAATCACTTCTTTTAAAAATATGATCATTTATAATTTAACCTCTACTTCTCTATCGAGCACTGTTTTTAGAAATAAATAATAAAGAACTTTAGATCATTAATCTAACTGTTCTTTCATATTACATCAACACACACACATATATGTATATATATATATATATATATATATATAACGTATGTGTGTGTGTGTATGCTATTCATGCACGTCCATATTTCTCGACCGATTTCGATGAAATTGTACACTCATGTTGCAAATTTGCCAAGATAACTCAAGCTCTATTTTTCAATCTCTACCCACTTCCCAGGGTTTGACAGAAAAGTCGATAAAACTGAAGGTGGGTACAACGTTTTGGCAAAAACCAAGGCAAAGTTACAGGAGAACATCATTTTTCACTGGATGAACTAAAGTTCTTCGCATTTAATGCAAAACAAAGCTCATGTTACGAGGTTTATGGAGAGTGCTGGATAATCTTCCTGCGACATTGGCTTCACACAAAAATTGTAAAAAAATTTGAAAAAATCGGGTTTTTCGTACTTCTTAAAATAAAATATTGAATAGCTTCCTCATTTTTATCGGATTTTTTTCAAACATGTCGCAAAAATGTACTGTCATTCAAGAAATAAGATAGTGTGGTTTTAGTCCTGCTCGCTTCCCCGTGTATAGCAAAAAAAAACGTTCAAATCTGTTTAAAAAATCCGTTTTTCCCTGGTTTTTCATCCGATGCTTTCCAAATTTGAAATATAAATTACATATGACCCACAATTTATCTTGTGTGAATGCTTGGTTTAGATTATTTCAGTTAAGTGGACCAAATCTACGACATACTATGTCCAAAATCGGCTCTGGGTAATAAGCCAATAGTTTCTTCATATGATTCCATCCTAAATTGGCATTCGAACAACCTTTGATGCAAAGATTGTTTGAGAAGGGATTACTTCCCAAAGAACCTCTTATTAACCCCAGTTTTACAATAAACGTGCGAAGGATGGGGGCGTTCATGCGTTTGCACTTGCAATTGAATTAAGCTCTGACGCTTCATACCAGGTTTGGTTTGATTATTTGATTTGTGAACAATGACATACTATTTGAAAGTTATTCCGGCCATAAGAAATTTACTCAATATCTAAAACATTGAAACAATTTAACTTCGAGGAACGACCACACAAGAAGATTTCATCGGTGGAATTCTTTTATTAAGAATAATCAAACACTTGCGAAGGCCAAAAAAATAAGTGTGGGCAGTAGCTTAGTATAACAACGGATGATGCATGCAAGCTGGACGCAGGCAGATTTTTCTAGACAGTGGGGTGCGGGTATACAGGGATATATATCTTTTTTCACTACTCTTGGGGCTGTCATAGATGAAACGTGATAAACATCTTATGGATTGAGTTGGATCTTTTCTAATTGATCTCTTTAACTCTAAGTTGTTCCTGTTGTGACCTCCTGGTCCAGTTTTCCTCTCTACCTTTCCCTCTTTTTTAAACTTATTCTTTGTTCCTTTGATGGTTCTTGAATGGACTTTGAAGATGGAAACCTGAGTATGAAGGTTGGTACCATTACTGAAGATCTGAACGATATTTGTCATCTCACCATTACTCAGTTGGAAAGACAGTGGGGTTGACACAAAATGATTTTAACTTGTTCTCTTTCTAGCTGAATAACTCAAATAGTTTTTTAGTGATTCTTACGACAAAACGTCTTATCTGAAAACCAGGAAAACTAAACTCAATTTTTAGCGGTTTTTTAGCAAACAATTTGTGGGATACAGAATTATACTGTTATATGATTTGAACAATTTTCCTGTGAAACCCGATATATATATATATATATATATATATATATATATATATATATATATATATATATATATATATTTCCATATTTTTACTACACGAGTTTACGGTCTCGTGACCTTCATCAAGCAAAGAGTGGTTATTTCCACATATTCCAAAACATAAGTAAAATTAATTCCTTTCCATAATTTATGAAAATAGCCACTCTTTGCCAGGTGAATTTCGTGAGAACGGAAACACTTGTAGCAAAAATATGGAAATTAAATTATAATATATATTTTTAAAAATCCACATTATAAACAAAAATGTTTGCAGCTTCTCTCTGCTCTTTAAAATAACAACTTTTCTCTCGTTGGAACAACTACAACCTCTCCTATACATATATATATATATATATATATATATATATATATATATATATGGCTATCCGTCATATATATATATATATATATATATATATATATATATATATATATATGACGGCTAGCCACTCGTATCCGAGGATGTCTGTCTACTAGGGCGGCTAGATAATTCCTGCTGCAGACGCCCCCTCAGGCACATTTTTTGTATTTGTTCTATACCTACAGAAATCAACTATGGTTTATACAGCAAATATGCTAAGCGGATTTAGTTACAGTTTCTGAGAGAGAGGCAGAGAGAGAGACTCTGTGTGTGTGTGTGTGTGTGTGTGTGTGTGTGTGTGTGTGTGTGTGTGTGTGTGTGTGTTATCTAGTGTGATCAACAGTTTGAACAAGACCAACATTTTCAAACCCTCGGTCACGATGACTTGTAACTTCGTGCTAGCACTCTAAATGCCTGAACCGAATGCATTTCCTTTAATAAAACTTAGACTATTTTTATTTTCGCTCTTTTTATCCATTAATGATGGCCTCAGTCGTTCTGTGAATTTTGTAAATTTTCAAAAGAAAATTGTGCCCGTCTTCATCAATGCGCGTGATTTGTTTGTTTTCAAAATTATCCATATATAGATATACAATGCGAATTAAAAACAAATCTCGTATGAACAGATTAATCGTATGAACATATCTACAAGTAAAGTAACATTTTTTTTTTATTTTGACATATCAAATAATGGCGATATTTAACTTTATTATTTAATTCACTGAATATCTAAAACATCGAAACAATTTAACCCTTAGCAACAACCACACAAGAAGGTTTTTTCGATGGAATTCGTTTGTTAAGAAAAAGGAAACATACGGTCAAAAAAGATGTTTTGAGAGAGTAGCTTAGTATAACAACGGATGATACATGCAAGGTGGACGCGATTTTTTCTAGACAGTGGGGTGCGGGTACACAGGAAGGTATGGTTATACAAATGTATCCATGCAACAACACCGATACCTCGGCTAGTATATATATATATATATATATATATATATATATATATATATATATATATATATATATATCGGATTTAACAACAAAATTGTCTATTTGTTAGATTAAGATTTGAACCATTGTTTTTTTTTAGAAATGATTAAAGATATCTTACTGGAATTCTCCGAAATTTTTTATAACACAATTGGGCTCTACTTTGAGCTATAACAATGTATAAATACTCTCCAAGTTTTACAGAAGAATCATGATGAAATCGATCATAAACGAAAATGATATATTCATCATTAATTAATCATAGCTAAGGATCGGAAACCCATGAAGGATAGAAATTAAGTTCATATATATATATATATATATATATATATATATATATTATGCAGCCAAATTAAGTTCATATATTATTATGCCGCCAACGTTCGTGTTGTTTTTCAAACCAAGTCTATCCTTTCATCTGTGTGTAAAGACGTTTTACCCCCCACCCCACCATATTAATTCCGTTATTTATTATTTTAAATGTAGTTGTGGACTCGACTACATAAGTAGAACAACACAGTGTTTAGATGTTAGGATTAAACTGCACGTGCCTGCTAAAATACTTAACAAATTTTTTTCGTTTGGTGATACTATTCGAAATACATACGGGTCTTCTTTAGCGGATCACTTGATAAATAATCTGACTTGTGCTATGGATTTTAGTGTGAGCTGGTTCTCTGTTCTGGCCAGAGCACACTCATTATTCTATCTGAAGGTGTTGGAGACGCTGTCCAGGCGACCCGCTCTTTGTAAACAAAGAGACTGTTTCCTTGGGCTTGCGGTGCTGTGTCTCTAGCATCTTTGGTGTTATTTATTACTTTTATTATTATATTTTTTCCCAGTCCATTCATTCACGTCATCCGCGACAGACTTTCCTCTCATAATTTGTTTCCCCGTTTACAGTTCTGACGAGAGGGGACGAAACCGGTCGACTTGTGTTCGTGTTTTTGTTTTAAAATTTATCATGACCGACAGTAAAAAAATTCTTGCCTTTAATGCCATAATACGTTTTTGTACCGTTAAAAACATATTTAAATATATATATATTGACATACCAAATAATGGCGATATTTTACCTATATCATTTAAGGATTAATTTCTGTTCTGTATTTCTTATGTGTGTTTATATGTGGGCTTGTTCCGCATTGTGTCCTTACACACACACATACACACACATATTAAAAGACGCAAACCTTTTTGGTTATAATGTGGATTTGTTTTAGTGTGTATATATTATATTTTATTCTTGATATTTTTGCTACACGGGTTTTCGGTCTGAGGACCTTCTTCAGGCAAATTAAAGGAATTAATTTTTAAAGGAATAAAATTTCTTTGTGTTCTTTTAAGGTTTCCTTATGTTTCTTTTAACAAACGAAAAAATAAGATCAACTCCAAATATAGAAAATGAAGAAAATATGGACTAAATTCCTTCGTTCCTCGAGTTCTAACCTTCACGGCTAAGGCTCGTCATGCCAAGCAATTTATAGAGAATCATCTTTAATTTATCTCTCTAGATGTAAGTCCCACTCGTAACAGCTTCTTCCCACAAACCGCTGTTTTTCTGCAACCAACTCCTAAGAGAATGTTTCCCTGATCACAAAAATCTTAAATTCTTCAAGTCTAGGTTCGATCGTTATCTTCTGTACATATCCCCAGAAACAGTGACTTTTACTTTGGAACACTTTACCTCGACGAACTCTTGAGCCTTATACAGTAAAAGTTCTTTTTTTATATGGTCGTTTTATTTATATATTTTACTCGGATGCTTTTAATACATGTACACATAATTAAATATGTCTTTAAAACGATCACACGATTTGATTGATTTATTGACTGACTTTTGTTGCAGCTTATTAACCTTTTGTAGGTTATTTAAAGCCGTAATATATTTTACAATTGCAAGAAAAATCTTTTTTTCTTTTTATATTTTTTTACTATATTTTCAGGATGAGGTATTCTGTACACTATTTACATTATTCGGACTATTGTCCTCATCTTTGTCGCCATATTTATTACAACGTTTCGGCCTTTCAGTATCCGTTTATATTTCTGAGATGAGGTATTATGTACACTATATACATTATTTGGACTATTGTCCTCATATTTGTTGCCATATTTGTCACGTTTCGGCCTTTCAGTATCTGTCTATATTTCTGAAATGAGGTATTATGTACATTACTTACATTATTCGGACATGATTACTAGAGGATGTGATATGTTTTATGTTGTAGTTTTGTTGAAGCTATATTTTGGAAAACAGTTTGATTTCTTTAAGAAATTGTACGATATTATATGGATTAATCTCATTAAAGTTCTGCCGTTTTTTAGTTAGTTGATTTTGTTTATTGGCATATCAACATCTCCAAGGGTTATTTAGTGCCGAAATCTAAATATTCTGTGCGTAATTTTATGCTTTCATTTCAGATTTTTGTTCATAATTTTTATTTTTTCAGAGAAAAACTGTTTTTTAAATATATATTTTGTCGATCATAAAATGTATTGTTGGTAATTTTACTACAAAAATGTATTTTTGTATACGTTTTTGTTGCATTGATTGTCATTTTGCTGTGAAAATCGGTGATCATTTTATTAAAAAAATATAGTGTTGCGTTTTGTTTAGAGCCCTAACAAGGGACTACCACAGCGGGACAGCAATTAAGAGGTAGTACAACGCTCTTCAAAATCTCTAATCCCCCGATCAGTGGCCTTGCTGCCAGATGTAGTTTATCGTCATACCAAGGACGTGTGTCCGTATCTATCTATCTATCTATCTATCTATCTATCTATCTATCTATCTATCTGTTTGTTCATATCTATCTATCTATCTATCTATCTCCCTGTTTGTTCATTATCTATCTATCTATCTATCTATCTATCTGTTGTGGTACGATCCACCTAATTTACATAGTGGAGTACCGACCCTATAAATATGGTTGGTACCGGGAAGACGGGGAAGGAAGAAGAGATCCAATCCAGAGACTCTGCCCGACTGCGACTAAAGTCAACCCATTCTACAGGAACGGTCTTCCCAAGAATATACCAAAACTATCTGTAAATAGTGTGTACACTTCTTTCTTGTTTCAATACATTTTGTTTAAGTACATTTTGTGTTGTATTATTATTATTCCATGTTTTATTCAAGTTTCAACACTATCTAATCCTGTCTTTTCGTATCTATCTATCTATCTATCTATCCCTGTCTGTTCTATCTATCTATCTATCTATCTATCTATCTATCTATCTATCTATCTATCTAACCTTGTCTGATAGTATCTATCTATCTATCTATCTCTATCTATCTATATCTATCTATCTATCTATCTATCTATCCCTCTGTTAGTATCTCATCTATCTATCTATCTATCTATCTATCTAACCCTGTCTATCTATCTATCTATCTGTCTATCATCTATCTCTCTCTTTTCGTATCTATCTATCTATGCATCTATCTATCTATCTATCTATCTAACCCTGTCTGTTCTATCTATCTATCTATCTATCTCTTTTCATCTATCTGTCTATCTATCCCCTCTCTCTTCGTATCTATCTATCTATCTATCTATCTA